TATTTTCAATAATACTAATACTTATTAAATAATTATATTAACAAATAAAACAATTATTACTATTCTTGTGATTTTTACTATTAAAATTAATGCTTAATGTAAAATTTTATTTTATTATTGTAAAATCCAAATACGAAGATGATATTATATACAACATTATGTTTTATATTATTATCATAATATTATTATCAACATCATGATTTACATGTGCAATCAATATTTTAAAAAATGGATTGATGGAGTGGATCGTCACCCCCGATCCCTTGCTGGATTGGTGATTCGGATCGTTCTTAGATCATTTGTATTGATGATCCCAAAAAAAATAAAAATAAATTAAATATAATAAAAATTAAAATAAAGGTTTACATGTGGGAATTTAGGGTACAACATTAGAAATGTTCAAAGAAAAATAAATAAATAAATTAAAGGGGCATTTTAGGGGGAAACCGAGTCGGGATACATACCATCCCAAAACCAATTCGGTCTCAACCATTGAAAAGGTGCACAATCTGATATATTTATATTAGTCTATAATAAGAATATTGTAATATATTTATATTAGTCTATAATAAGAATATTGTAATATATTTATATTAGTGTCCTTATTGTAGTGCATCATATGCGCTAAACTCTCTCTATTCTAGGACTCTTACTCCACATTCTTTTTAGTGATAGGGTTATTTTTTAGGGTGTCGTTTCCATAAGGTTGCGACCTTAAACAATCCAATTAAGGCGCACCTCCAAATTTTATCATAATATGTAATTTTGGTAAAAAAAATTTAGGATTACTTAAAAATATATTTTTATCCCTAATTATAAAATTTTAAACTTCAAAAATGGTTAAAATCAAGTAGATCTATAAACATATGAAAATATTGAAAATGATCAGTCTAGTTAATATGTTGCATGATGCACTATTTCAAGGACTCAATTTTTTTTTTTTTTTTTTTTCATATTCATACATCTTGATGTCATGATGATCAACGAGTAGGTTTTTTCAACATTAAAACAACTTTTCCAGATGGATTTTTGAGGTGCATATGTAGTTCTACATTTTAAGGTTGCCACCTTATATAAACTTTTTCCTATATTTTATGGGTGTGGTTTCTATAAGGTTGCAACCTTAAACAATCCAATTAAGACGCACCTCCAAATTTGATCATAAATTGTAATTTTGATATAAATCATAGGATTATCTGAAAATCTAATCTTTATATCTAATTATAAAATTTTGAACAAAGTAGATCTATAAATATATGAAAATCTTGAAAATGAACGGTCTAGATAATGTGTTGCAAGATGCACTATTTTTGGGACTCAAAATCTTTTTTTTCTCTTATTTATACATCTCGATATCGAAATGATCAATTCGAGGTTTTTTCAAGATTAAAACAACCTTTTTTGATAGATTTTTGAAGTGCATCTGTAAATCTACATTTTAAGGTTGCAACCTTATATAAACTTTTTTCATTTTTTATTTTTGCTATATGAGTCCAACTTTAATATTAACTTAATCTACGAACTAAAGCATAGGTTTAGATGTGCAGAAGTTATTCACATAGTTCAAGTCATTTATCTTAGGGAAAATATCAATTAAATGGACAAATTAAGTTACAAAATCACTAAACGTATCAAGTCATCCTACTCTACATGAATAATTTTGCTTCATAGGTTTCATTCATTGAGTTATTTACTAAAAAGCAATAAAAATACAAGGGGAAAGTATATATAGGGTTGCAACCTTAAAACGTAGAATCACAGATGCACCTCAAAAATCTATCGAAAATATTGTTTTAATGTTGAAAAAAACCTTCTAATCGATCATCTTGACATTGAGATGTATGAATATGAAAAAAAAAAAGTTTTCCAGTCCTAAAAATAATGCATCTTGCAACACATTATCTAGATCGTCCATTTTCAAGATTTTAATATATTTATAGATCTATTTGATTTTAACCGTTTTTGAAATTTAAAATTTTCTAATTAGGTATGAAAATAGATTTTAAGATACTACTAACAAAATTTTATAAAAAAACTATATGTTATGATAAAATTTTAAGGTGCGCCTTGATTGGATTGTTTAAGGTTGTCCTTATAGAAACCGCACCCAAAATGCAAAATACCAAATTGTCATTGTTTAAACAAATCAAAATATTTTAATAATTTAGCCTCACTTCAGTGGCTTTAGGCATATTATAATAAGGGATTGTATACAACGAGACTATTTACTTTTGATACAAAGTGGTCACAATTCCTTATAACCATTTGATGTGAAATTTGACAGCTTGGATGTGTCACGAAGTTCGAAAAAATTTATTTTGAAGTTTGAGCCTTGTTAATGGAATAATTACAACCACCCAATTTCACATCCAATGGTCTAGATTAATGTGACCACCTTGTATCAAAGGTAAACGGTCTCATTCTATACATTCCTTTATAATGAGATCGTATACAATGAGACCATTTACTTTTGATATAAAGTAGTTAATACCCATAGTTATATAAAATTATCTATAGGGAACTATCAAACGATAAAACTACCTTAGTTGGTTAGAGTTAGCAATGCACAACTCACTTTTTTTTTTTTTGTAAATCTTTGACCCATGTTGTTAAATCTTTCAAACTATGAGTATTTTCTTTATTTATTCAAGCCACTTGGTTATTAAATTATCAAAATACCCATACTTGTTTAGGATTTTTAACCATAGATTGACATAATTTGGCCTTTTTTTATCATTTTTCTGATAGGTATTTGAGTGAAATGAGACTTAAAGATTTAACCTTTTTTAAGTTGTGGAGAGAGAAAACCACAACACAATTAGTCCCACATCATGGATATTCAAATGTTTAGGGCAAAGTAAGTGTTATAAATAAGGGTCATACTGTATAGGCAACTAACATATGTTTGGGCATTTCGGCACCCCAATTGCATAGAGGATGCGGGCCTGCTTAATAAAAAATAAAAAAAACTTGAAATAAAAAAAGAAAAGGTGGGTATTGGCGGACCAGTAAGGTTGGCAACCAGGCGGGTCGGGTTTGAGTCCAAGCCATATGATATTGAATTAGAGTAGTTCCAATTAAGTCTCCATATGACATTGAATTAGAATAGTTCCAAATAGTCCAAACCATATGATATTGAATTAGAATAGTTCCAATTGAGTCTCCATATAAATGAGTAAACTGTAGAAAATGGCATGAGGGGTGGTATCACCTCCAATGATCTAGAAGGTGGTCTTAGACTCCATTCGGGCTCTAATCCCTGTTGAATTACCAAAAAAAACATCTAAGCCCTGTTGAATTACCAAAAAACCAATTTAAATAGTTGATTTCTCATAAATAGTTTAGTAGTTTCTCTATATGCCTTATAAATAAAATATATTATATTTACCTGTTTTCTAAAGAGGTCTTAGACTCCATTCGGGCTCTAATCCTTGTTGAATTACCAAAAAAAACATCTAATCCCTGTTGAATTACCAAAAAACCAATTTAAATAGTTGATTTCTCATAAATATTTTAGTAGTTTCTCTATATGCCTTATACATAAAATATATTATATTTACCTGTTTTCTAAATATTTTAACCCTCAGGCAGCTGAATTACGTTGACCCGGTTGGTTCCATTTAATTATGAATTCGAAGTGACCTGGGCCTGGGAACTCTACACTTAGTGGCTTTTTGTTTTGGGTAGTGGCTTTTTGTTTTGGGTAAGTAAATGGGGATCAGTGCTGTGAGATTGCGTTCTCTTCTGCTAAAGTGGCCGAACTCTTCGGATTTTAAGCCTATATCTAAGCGAAACAAAACTTTGTGTTTTTCTATTGGTCAGCTTCAGGCCGATTCAGTCGAAACAAAGGAATGTCTATATAAACATACCTTTTTTTTTGAATTTTTTCATTAATTTAACATATAAAAATCTAATGTATTTATATTAAATTTTTTACCGCTCCCCTACTACATAAAAACTTATATACTTCCCCTTATCCAACCATCAACTCTAAAAAGACGGTTGAGATGGCCCCATCATAATATCATATCTCTACACTATTTTATTTTTAATTTTTTTCTACAAATTATTTTGACACCAAATTTTGGGCGTCCACTCCTCTCTTAAACTCGCATTGGTAAAAAATATAAAAAAACTATTTCCAATAAAATAAAATGACAAAAATACCTCTGAAATGTTCAAAGGGTGGTTTGGTTTTATATTTTATCAAAAAGTTATTTTTAATATTTTTTTAGGTGTATCTCATTGAGTAAAAAATATTATCAATAAAATAAAATGACTAAAATACATAAGAAATATCAGAGAGTGGTTTGGTCTTTATATTTTGTTGAAAAATTCTTTTAAATATTTTTTTTTAGGTGCATATTATTGAGTAGATGGCATGTACCAAATTTTATTTATATACAATTAATAGAAAAAATTAAAAATAAAATATTTTAAGACGTCAGATCTTGATCAAACAATCAATAACTCACTTGATCTAAATTTATTATAATATATAATTTTAATATAAAATATTTTTAAAATTGTCTTAAAATTTATTTTTATATCTAATTATAAAATTTTAAATTTAAAAAATGAAGTAAATCTATAAACACATAAAAATCTTAAAAATAAACGGGATAAATAATATGTTGTAAGATGCATTCTCTTAGATTCAAAATCACTTTACTTTTTCATCGTATCGAGATGTCTAATCATGAGGTTTTTCAACATTAAAACAATCTTTTATGGTTGATTTTTTACTTTTTCATCGTATCGAGATGCCCAATCGTGAGGTTTTTCAACATTAAAACAACCTTTTGTGGTTGATTTTTGAGGTGTATCTCAAGTTCTTCAATTGCAACCTTGTATAAATAAAGATGGAGCAGCCAAGATGAAAAAAAAAAAAATAATCGAGAGCGACGGAGTGAGAGAGAGGGGCCCACAGTGAACTCTCGTACCCTTAAAAATGTATACGTGTTATGTTCAAATTAACCCAGTCGCACTCCATAGTGATGAGTAGGACTAGAACAGGGTGTGGGTTTTGTGGTCACCATTAAATGAAATAAACACCACCAAAAACCCCTCTGCTACTGTTTACAAATTAGGGTTTATTTGGCTGCTCAAATTGGGGTTCTTTCATTAAGAGAAAGGCAAACGCCAACACTGCAAATTCTGGTTCAATTTTTGGGGCAATTTTCCTCTTAAAGGGAGTTGATAGAAGCAAAATACCGAAGGGACAGACCCTAACACTAAATCTCTGAGATCGGTGTTGCTTTTTTAGGGTTTTAGGTTTTAATTATTATTCTTATCAGATGGATCTTCGCCCTCTAGGGTTGTATGGATCAGGCGGGTTTGAAAGTGGATACGAGGTTTTTGTGGGCAGCGGAAATGGACGCAATAAACATTCTTCTTCTCCGGCTCTGAGTCTGAGACCTCGCTGCAACGCAGAAAAAAGAAACAATGGCGACAAAAGTAAGAGAAAACTCACCTCTGTTTTTTAATATTTTGGATTTTATTCATAATTAAAACCCCTAAAAGGGGGAAATTGTAAGACACTAAAAAAAATTATATAAACATAAAAATTATATAAAGGGAAAAGTTTATGTAGAGGTGAGGCTCTAAACAATCAAATTAGAGCCTACCTCTAAAATTTCACCAGAAGACATTATTTTGATGCTTAAATATCCTGAAATTGATCTTCATGACATCAAGGTATATGGACATGAAAAAACAATAGATTTTAAATTTTAAAAATAGTATATTTTATAAGGCATTTTTGGACCATCAATTTTCAAGATTTTCAAATTTTTATAGATTTGTGGATCTATACAATTTTGAAGCTTTAAACTTTATAAATAAAAATAAAAAATATATTCTAAGCCTATCCCAGAACTTTCCAATATTAAAACCACATCTCCCAACACTATTTAAAGATAGGCTCTGATTTGATTGTTTAGAGCCTATGCACTTTACAAACCACACCCATAAATATAAAAGTAACTTCCTATACTATTCTATAAGTATAAAGTTTATACCACAACACACAATAAAATTTGTACTATAAAAATTAAGTGCTGCTATAAAAGTAAAGTGCGCTTCAAATCCCACTACTGTGGTTGCCATGATCCTCTGATCTTGGTCTCAAGAGTTATGAATGTAAGAAAGCAAATGCATATAATAAGATTATTTACTTGTGATATAAGTAAGGTCATAATTATTATTAACTGTTAAATGTGAATTTGGGTAGTTGATGATGTGTAATTGGTTGAATATAAAATCTAAAATAAAATTTCTCAAATATTGTTGTACACTTCAATCTATCGGATTTTACATTCAATGGCTAAAAATAATTGTGATATCCTTATATCAAAATTGAATGGTCTTATAATAGACAACCCATATAAAAAAAGGATTTTAAGTTCTAAAATTAATGCATATTGGAACACATTATTTGGATTTGCCCATTTTTTAGATTTTTAAGTATTTACAAATTTGTCTAGTCATTATCATTTTTAGGGCTCTAAATTTTATTATTAGGAGTGGAAATAGACTACTAAAGGGGTCTCCCACTTCAAGGTTTTGAGGTACATAATGATTTAAGGTTGATGCCTTCTAAAAATTGCTCCTAATACTAAAAAAAATGCATAATGAAACCATTTACTTTTCATACGAGGAGGTCACAATCATTATTGACCTTTGGATATGAAATCGAGTGGTTGAAGATGTGTTATTGATTGGGCACATAATCCAAAAGATAAATTCTCGAATATTGTGATATGTTTCAATCTATTGGATTTCATATCTAATGGTTAAAAATAAGTGTGACCTCCTCGTACAAAAAAACAAATAGTCTAATAGTATAGAGTCCCAATATTAAATTATGACATTGATGCCCTCCTCAGTTAAATTCTCTAAATGGAAGTATATTATGATCCAATGTTTAGAAACATAGGAATTGGGTAAATCGGGCAACCCAAATCGGCCGAGTCAACAATCCAACTGAAAATTTTGGAAACATATAGCATCTTCGTATCTATAATACATATGTTTGATTATTTAAATTATCAACTAAGCATATTATAAAAGGGGAATAATACATTTTCGAGGAAGCAGATTCCCGAATTGGATTTTCAATTCTTAATTGTTATCAGTGATTCTTGATCTGGATCGGCAATTTTTAAAAATAGAGATCACAATGGGTCTGGTGGCTCGGCCCTAGAAAACTATGGCTTGGTCCATAAAATGCGTCCCAAGGGGTGGGTCGAGGCCTAGCAACTACAACCTGAGGATAGGGCAGGCCAAGCTTGGGCCAAAGCCGGCTTGGTGCAGTCAAGTTGGGCCGTCTTTTTCTTTATTTTTTTCCTTTTTCTTTGTGATTTTATTTGGCATGGGGCCAAGCCAGCCATATAAGAGCTAGGATTGGCCCGGCCCAGCCCACGCCTGGCCTATTGCCAACCCTATTCAAAACGCAATGATGGTCGTGATCACATAAGCATATGGTGCCCAAAAATTTAAATTTCAAAACCTGGGAAAATTGGCATCCGACTTACTTAACCATTGTCCATGACGGATCAACTCGCCAAGTTGCACCGTCAAGAACAGGAAGCTTTTTATGTGGGTAGGCAGGAAGCTTTTTATGTGACCCTACCCGGTCTCAGCCGTCAGATCTAAATAGATGGTTGAGAAGGCTTGAGTCACAATGTCACAAGCTAGCTTTTAACTGTCAGATATTGATCGGACAAATCAGTTTTTTAGTTTTTTATTTTTTTTTAAAAAAATAATTTTGAAGCAAAATTTAGAGCATGCATAGCTCTATCAGGGGAATACATGATAAAAATAATAAATAAATATTTCCCGTGATGAAAAATTGCTAGACTACACCTGTAGGGGCATTTTGGTCTTTTTTATAAAAATATTTTTATTTTTATTTTTCCCAAGTTTGCCCAAATTTTATTATGGGGTGCCAAAAATTTCATCCAAAAATGTTTTGTAGAAAAAATAAAAATAAAACAATATTTGACGTGACATTGTGTTATGAGCAATCATAGCCTTTCGATTCAGATCAAACGGCTAAGAAGTAAGGTCACGTTTAACTTATATGTTGTTGAGGTGGCATAAAAATATTTCCCTTATTTAATAGGTAAGAAGCTAATAATTTAACAACATATTTTTAGTTGAAACAAAAAGTTTGTAAGACTAAAATAAAACACGTTTTGGTTGGGACTGGAACCTGTTGTGTTTCAAATTTCCTAGTTTCAAACTTAGGTACAAAAAAAAAACTTTGCAATGAGATAAAATAAAGATATACTGACATCAAACTTAGTGTGTTTCAAGACTTTGGAAAAAGCTAAAAAGAAAATATTTAGTAAAAACACTGTAAATAAAGGATTGTATGAGACTATTTATCTTTATTACAAAGGAGTTAAGTCATAATTACTCTTAACTGTTATATTTCAAATTAAATGACTTGGGTTGAGTCACAAGGTTCGAGAAGTTTTTTTGAAACATTGAGTCTAATAAATAACACTATACAATTTGAAATAGGGAGTGTATGCTATGAGACCATTTATATTTCAAAAAAAGAACTCACAATTATTTTTGGCCATTGGATGTGAAATCCAATAGATGAAAATCTATTACAATGTTCGAAAAATTTTATTTTGGACTTTGTGCTTAAATTATTCAACCACCCAAATTGAAATCTAATCGTAAATGATGATTGTGACATCCTTATATCGAAAATAAATAATCTCGTTGTATGCATTTCCTTGGAAACGGATGGACCACTTTGGTCATGTCATGTTCAAGTGGATATGGTCTCTCTCCACAGTCCATCTATTGTTTGGATGATTGTATAAGCCCGTTTGGATGATTGTATCCATTTAAGAGGTCATGATGTCCTTTCGATGATCATAAGAACAAAGTGTTTAACGATTCTATTGGTTTTTTACTAGGGTGGGAATTGGGTCGAGTCTTTTGGACATGAATGGATCGATCCGACGCAGTCTAGGTCTGGCCCTAGATTTTGATGCAACGGGTCAGATCGGTGTCCATTTGAACATGACTTGACTTAGGTTGGGTCTGACTTTGGGTCCTGCTTAGATCTTGTTGGGTCAAGTTGAGTTGGGTCAACTTAACTCATTTCGGCGTGTATACTTACATAATAACATTAAGTATGTAATATAAAAGTATGCTATGTTTTTTATTTATAAATCCGGACTGGACCCGACTTGGTTGGTCGTGTTCAAGCCCAGTTGAGTTGGTCCCAACCCGGGTTTGAGTCCAAATTATAACTAGTCATCGGGTTTGGGTGGACCCAACCTGGACATGACCCAACCAATTCCCATCCCTAGTTTTTATGAAGTAAAAGGTCCAAACATTGAAACTTTTTGTTGAGCATGATTTTGACAAGGCTGCAATTGTACAAAATTACACGTCAAATCTTTGCTAGAAAGGTCATATTCCCTTCGAGAAACAACATGATGGATTGCAAATCCATTGTCTTGTAAAATCTGAGTGCGAAATGGGAGTGAGGTAAGAGGTCTTGCAAAATTGAAAACATTAGAACAAACAGGGTTTGTTTAAAGGACAGAATGAGGGTATTCTCCTTGATAGTGCTTGGTGAAACAATATTCTTATAATCGGTCCCAAATAGTTTTGAACCAATGGTTTAAAAAACGGATCGGTGATCTGGATCGGGCTTCCAAAAAATCGATTCGGATCGGCGAATC